AATAAATTTTGTTTTGGTTTGTTTTACAGCATATGAACCACAATGGGTTATTTAATGCCAACAAAATTTCCTTTTTTTTTCCAAAATGTATAGCTGGTAAATTTTTTTTTTAAATGTATAGTTTGGTTTGTTTTGCTTTGTGGCATATTAACCTCAATGGGTTATTTAATGCTGACAAGATTTTCATTTTCATTTCTGGTAATATTTTCTTTTTTCAAATATTTATTGCTGATACTAATTTTTTAAAAAGTATTTCTGGTATTAAAATCTATTTTTACAGTTGCATAGTGGGTCAGGTTGTGGAGTCAACTATTTGCTCATAGCTGGGACCCTAACAGGTGCTACCACCCCTGGTCAGGGTGGACCTGGGAACACTAGCAATTAAGAGATGGTTCCACACTCCTCAAAACCACCTGATCAGAGGCCTTGCTGTTGGAGGTAATTTATTGTCTAACCCAGGACATGGATGCAGTTTATTGTTATACCCAGGACACTGAAAATAAAGATTTTTCCAAATACAAGTATTCCTACTATGTTGTTTGGAAATAATGTTTAATTTTAAAAATAAACCTTTTAACTGTGTTCTAAAATATTACAGAATTTATTTTTAAAAATTATATACCCCTGATCTTGCAAATGAAAAAAAAGAAGAGATGGATTTACTTTTTTCTTGATGAGTTCAAACTTGGTCAAAATACTTCATAAACTGCTTCTAACATTAATAGAGCATGGGGTGAAAGATCCACTTGTGATTAGACAGGATGGCACTGGTGTCTGAAGTTCCACTGTAGGGATACAAGTCTTGAAGATCAAGGTTGTGGAGAGGAGTTCATTTGCAAGTGACAAACAACATATGAAAATACTTGTCAAAGAAAACCAATATCAAGGTTTTAGAGAAATGACTTTCAGCATTTCAAAAATATCAGACAATCTTAAGATCATTGGCAAAGTGAAGAAACTCAATGAATGGATTCCACATGAACTAAGTGAAAGACAAAGAGCATAATGTTTTAAAGTATGTTTGATGCTGCATCTGCAAAATTTTAATAGTCCATTTCTTGATGTAATAGTGACTTGTGATAAGAAATGGATCCTTTATGACAACTGTAAATAATTGACTCAATGGTTTGATTATGTTAAAACACTCAAACATTTTCCAAAACTGAAATTTCACCAAGAGAAAATTATGATGATTGTGTGGTGGTCAACTATTCACATTATTTAGTACAGCTTCCTGGAATCTAACCAGAACATCTTAACCAGAAAATGCACATTCAGTTAAGCAAAATGCATCCAGCACCAGTCAGTCAGCAAGGTCCAATTCTTCTTTATGCACATGCTTGGTCACATGTTGCCAGGATAGCATGACAGAAGTTTGTTGCCTTGGGATATGAGACTTTGCCACTTCCACCATATTCCCCTGGCCTCTTTCCCACTGACTATCACTTTTTCAAGTATCTCGACAATTTTTTAATCCAAAGGACATTCCATTGCAAAGAAGATGCACAAACTGCATTAAAGTTTATCTTAAAGGCACAAATAACCTTGTAACTCAATAGCAGAGATGTATAGATGTTTATGGTTCCTATTTTGATTGATTTGAAATGTGTTTAAATACATTAATTCATGAATAAAAGTTCATTCTAAAATCAGACATTATTTTTCAAACAAGATAATATTTAACCCATAGGTAGGGAGATTCATACCTTTCCCAAGGGTATTTACTTGTAAGTGAATGTAAGGAACCTGATTGGTATTCGTGTCCAGCTCTCCAATTTCTATTACACCACCTGCAAATCTCTGATATTGGCTTAAAATGTAGTAAAATGAATGCAATAAAATGAAATAAAAATCAGCAAATAATATATAATTTAAAATATCAAAATGAAAATTCTAAAAATATGGTAAAAATATCAAGCTAAAAATGAGTTACTTCTTATTAAATAAACTAGTACTTATACCCAGACTGCTATCCATTCCCCAACCAGATTTTGATCAGCACTATAAAATTTAGTCAAGTTTTTTGCTCAACTTGACAAATCTGGAAAACAAGTGTATTTCATGTTGTATTTGTCTGCTGACTTTGAGCAGATATCATAAGATCAAGTAAATGATATTGTTTAATAATGTTTCCCATGTGTTCAAGTATGTTAGAAATTTTGTATTCAAAGAATATTTGCAATGTGAAGAAATTTAATAAATTCTTTCTTTTTTTATAAAAAAACAAAATATTGATTTCCTACAAACATAATTTTGGAGTTACTTTCATCATTTAAATAAAAATGTGATGTGATATAAATTATTTATCTATATAATAAAAATATAAAATTGAACTAAAAATTGATTTTCTGAAAACAAAAACAGTTTACTTTCAGTTTAAAGTGAAAAATTTCCCCCAACAAGAGTATTTTACATATATGAGGTTTGTTTGGAAAGTTGTTCACCATTTTGATATTTTGAATATCCCAATAACTGGTCTACACAGCCTTGATGGAACTTGGCAACCAAGTTGGAGGAACTTCACTGTACATGTGTGTATAGATTATCTACTGTAGGGTTACTCACTTGAAGATGAGACACTGGTGAGTGTACATGTATATTATATGGCTGTCACTGTAGTGAAAGAGATAGTCAGGTACCCCGGGAAAAAGTTTGTGTTTTGTGTGCGATCTGCCGAAGAAACATTACCAAAAAGTAGTCAGCAAAAATCTTATTGCGAAGAAAACGGCGACTTACCTCGTCAAACCAAGCGACAGCGCGTCGCGTGTATTCTACGACGGAAAAAGTGACGAAAAAGAAACAAGTCCGTAGCAGGAGTCGCTATAACTGTATTTCGATATGCAAATTATGGAGCATCCTATCCCAGCTGTTGACGAAAGAAAAAAATTGGTTCTGCCGATAAAAGCAGTTGGTGTTCTCGATTCGGGGGCGTAACATTCGGGCATTTTTGGCTTCGGCGTTTGTTAGTGAGGGAATTATTTTTCTGACTGGTTACACGCATTGTAATTCGAGATAGTACCGGCGAATCGAGTTTTCAGCATTTCTTTCTGCCCCCTATATTCGAGTCTGGCTTACAGTGATTTTCCTTTGCTTTCAGAACACTTACACCTACAGTCACATGAAGTCTTTGATTCCCAAAGTGGACAAATGAGACAAAAGGAGGTGGTAGCGGAATGATTAGGAAAAAAGGACTGGTTGTGGACAGTAGGATGAGATTAAAACAAAGTAATCATTTTCTTCTTTTTTTAATATCATATTAGAAAAGGGCTTTGGTAGTCACTTAGATTCCTTTCAAGTAAACAAATAGTCTGATTAATTATGAACACAGAGATTAAAGGCTATCTTCCAGCGTGATCTTGAAGTGCTGATGTCTCGTCACCAAGTACATCTATCCCATTAAAAATATAAATTTTCTCTTTCATGTTGCTTAGATTAGTTGTTTTAAATTTGTAATGTACATAATGTAAAAAAAGAAGCTTCTTCCAATAGATTTGGGAGTGGGATTTCTAGGGAAGTGACCTGGGAGTTGAGCGGGTGGCAGTAAGAAAAATGTTTGATAACCACTGAATTAGGATTTGTTTGAATGTGAACATTTGGCTGTGGAAGTTATTTAAAAGATTTCTGTAGAAAATTCAATGAGTGAAACTCAGATGAAATTTTGATATTGATGCTCCAAATGTGGCCTGGAATCTGTTGAAAGTGACTGACATCCTGAAAGTAATATAGTTGAACATTTTCAGGGTTCAATCAAAGGAAATCTGCAACTGACATTATAAGAATTAGAAGATATGTGAATTCCATGAATTGTCTGAAAAGTATCATTATTTTTTAATATCTCAATTTCTCATTCTTCACATCTCATGCATAATTCTTTTGAAAAACATTCCATCACATAGGTCTGTGAGTTCCTTATACAATCCAGGATTGAATCCTTTCAAAGTTTTCCATGTTCTAAATGCTAAAATCACTGCTAAAATTGTGAAAATTTCAGATTATGGACAATATTAAGCAGAATGGGAAAAGGCAGTTGATGCTAACCCCACAAAAGGCTTTACAGACTGTTTTGAAAAGTGTAATGAATGCTAGAATAAGTACATGAGGTTCCAAAGGGAGAGAACTGAGGCAAAATAAGCTGCCATTTCTCTAGGTATGCTACTTTTCTATACATATTAAATAGCTGGATCATTTTGAGAATGATATACATTATACCAATTTTTATTATACATGGTTTTGCTTGAAAAAAAAAAATAATATACATTGTTGGGTGACTATCAAACCATATATAATGACCAAAAATTTAGAAGTAAAATTTATTTGAAATTTTGTAACAGCATTTATGCTGCTCCCTGTATAAGTTAATGTTTTCACAGTAAAACTGTTACTAACCTACTGACATTGATAGCATTTTCCGGATATAGTTATGATATTTCATGTTAATTTCAGTTTAAAATATCTCTTTCTATTAGAAATACTTACAATAATCTATTTGATGATGTGAGAATTTATTATGCGATTCAAGGCTTATTGCAAATAAATATATATAGTTGTATAATTATTGGTAGTTATTTTTCAATTTCAAATATGTAAAAAAAAACATCATCAAAGATCATAAAAATTTTAAAACCTCAGAAGTGAAACAATATATTATAAAGTTACTGAATGATAAAATCACAACTTTGGAAACAGGGAAAAAGTTGAAAAGTGATCAGAGAAAAATGAAAAAAATATTGAAAACATTGACAAGATAAGAACAAGAAAAAATGCTAGCTTTAAAAATGTCCCAAAAAGAGATTTGAGAAAAATAAAAAAATATAATAGGAAAGAAAAGTGAAATGACCAGCCAGAAAATAATTAAAGAAATTGATGTTGCAAAAAAAGAAAAAGAAAAGATGTACCATATTAAGTGCATTGGCTAATGACATAAAAGCAACTAAACTACACATGTTGAATCCCCTATATGTACAGGTCTCTTTTCCTATCAGGTGAAGCTTACAGCCATATGTTGAAACACCTGTTCTCCAATCCCTGAAGTTAAGCAACATCAAACCTGGTCAGTACTTAGATGGGTGACCTCTTGGGAATACCAAGTCCTGTAAGCTTGGATGTGTAGATGATGTAATAGATAATGGCTTGGAATGAGGAATCAGAGAGATGAGTTTAAATTCCAGTCAGGTTTGTTATATTAACTTATGTCCAAATACACTTGGGAAATGTATGAGTTCACCTCTTCTCCCCTAACTATGGGTTAAATATAAGGATTGGTATCAGAAAATAATTATCTTCAAAAAATTTATTATGATCCAAAAATATGTTCTGGCTTTAAATAACCTGTAAAAGGTGGATAGACTGTACAAAACAAATCAATACTATTGGGTGGAAAATATTGCTCAGATAAATCCATCCTGAACATATTGCCAAAATTGGTTAATATCAATTTGATTGTGGATACATTGTCATGCATAATAAAATTGCATATAGTATTAACATTAAATAATGAAAAAAGTAATTACTTCATTTTCTTTTCTAGTTTAGAATGCTTATTTTGTCATTTTGTTATTTCCTCATGCAAAAATCTTGGCAAGTTTCTAATATTTTGCATGAGACTGTTAAAACTATTCCTATCTAATTGTTTAGAGGTGATTCTTACAGTCCCTGATCAAATTCCCAGAATCCCAAACAAATTAGGCTAAAAGTGTTTAACTACATTTCTCTTTACAAATGAACACAATTGATCATGATTGTTGGCATGCAGAATGGTGATATTCTTTTAGAATTCCTTTCTCTAAGGAGTTTGGTGTTTCAGCTGAAAATTAGGAATAATGAATTGATTAAGAATTAATTTCTGTAGATATACAAGGTGCAAGAAATTGAATTAGAAAACATTTTAATTTCATTATTTTTAAAGGTTATTTTAAGAGCGGTCTCAGTACACTCAGTTAACAATATAATATGCAACATATTATACAAGGTGTGACAATTTAATTCCCAGAATGACTGCAGTGTATAGCTGGGATACTGAGCCAAGAAACATTTGTGCCTGAGCATGTTCAGATCTGTTCCAACTTTTGCTTTACTGAGAGGCTGATCAGATCAGTCATTCATTGCAAAACAGTAGAATATGTAGATCTTCTTATACTGTTAGCAGAAAATCAATGAAAAGAATATGGAACAGTGGAGAAGCATCAAATTTTGTATAAATATTTGTAAAAGTGCTAGTGGAACATTATCTGTATTAAAAATGCCTTATGGTGAATATGCTATAAAGAAAATGAAAGTTTTTGAGTGGCACGGGCAGTTTGAGGAAGAAAAAGAAAATGATGCATGAAATAGGTTGCTAAAATCACAAAGAACAGATGCAGATGTGGGTAGAATATGAATTTTGATGCACTCAGATTGTAGACAAAGTTTGCAACTGATACCAGAAGAACTGAATATTAATAGGGAAACAGTATGCCAGATTCTAACAGTAGATTTGGGAATGAGAAAAATAATAGATTATTTCACAAGTTCTTGGTGAAGAAATCCATTATAAAAATTGTCCACCCATTTTATTGATCAAACTGAAATTCTTCTGATTATTTCCAGTAATGAAAAATGTTTGGAAACTGACATCCAGCAACGTGTAAATATATTACCGAAATTCATTCTGGAAAATAAGTTTGAAGAATGTTCCCAGGAAGGCACCATTGTCCAACAAAGTACATAGCTTCACAAGCAGAGTACTTTGAATGTGATGGCCATCAATAGTGATCAAATAAGCAAAATGTTATCACAGAGCCATTCCATAAATTAAATTTCCACTTGGAAGGATATTAAAATAATCTAGAACTTATACTGGAAGTAAACGTCCTGCATATGGATTGTAGTAATGCAGGGCATGGCTTACCTAGTATGAAGCGTGTTTGGGTTGTTGCAGCTGTAATGGGAAATCTGGTTTGAGGCCTAGAGGCACACATGTGCATTGACTGGGATTTGATGAAATGGACATCACACCTATGCAAATGTATCAACACTTGTTGCTTAATATATAAACAGCTACATTGCTTGCTGGGTAGTGGGTAGTAATTCTGCAGATGACACTTGTGGTGTGTATCAGAAAAAGAAAGCAATACAGGCAACATAAACAGAATACCCTCTACTAAACACAAGCTATTTCAGCCTTTAAGATGGACGCCGGTTTCAATTTGAAACTGATTCCCCTGTTTGATGGAGCTGGATTGGGGACCGAATGTGCAATATGAAATGGTTGAAACATGTCATTTCTTTGAGACTGATGGGAGGGGGCATGTTTGCTGTCTACCAGCAATTGGGAGACAAGAAGGTGGATGCAAACAAAATACAGATTGCCTTATATATGGCCTTTGTGATGGATGAGATTGTGGCATATGAGCAATTCATAGCACGCTGGATGCAACTTGATGAATTCATCAATAACTATCTGGAAGAGTCATGGAAGCTCACCAGTCACTTTACAGTGCGGGACAACTCAGACCAGTGACTGTGTTTCTGAAGTGACAGGCAAGCGTGAAAGCCAAAGTTTGGGACGACAAGACCAAAAATGTATGCTCACCAAAACAGTTATTAGAGCACATCAGGAAGACTCTGTGAGAGGGAATTGGTGCATGTGTGGTTAGGAAATAAAGGTTTGGGTTGATGCAAGCTCCTTGGCTACTGTGGTACCATTGGAAGTTGACGGGGCCATCGTCAAAGATGTGTGTTGACTGCATCCGGATGCAGATTTGCAGCATATAAATCTTACTAGATGTGGTGTTGAGAGGCATTAATCTAGCCCTCCAATGGAAAGCAATGCTGCTGCATCTAATAACTGATTCAGCATGTGGGCACTGGTGGATCTCAGACCTTCTGACAAGAAGGTCAAAAGTGTGCACCAAAGCGGCCACAGAAATGCTAATAAGACATTGGCTCAGCACATTGGAGGGGATTGCCAAAGAATATGGCTTATCAACATGACCGTAGTCAAGTCTAGTGCAAACCAGGCTGATCATCTCACCAGGGTACCGCAGCAATGGCTTGATGCTTTACAAAAGGAAGAAGAGCCTACTCAGCTGGTATGCACTGCAGATGTTGATGATTCTGCCCAGATAATGAATATCCATGTGCCATATTTTGTGAGGCAGGTCATTCCTGCAATATCCAAGGCTGCAGTTAAGAAAGTGGTAGGACAATGTGAGGCATATCAGTCCACAGACTTGGGTCTGGTACAGTAGAAGACTGAACGGCTAGATGTAACTGACACTTGATGCCAAATAGGAGTGGACATGACCCACCTTGGCAGCAGACACTACTGATGCTGATCGGTTGGGGCCCTACATGGTTCTCCATCTGGTGGCCACTGTTTCATCAGGAATCTTCTAGCATCATCTGGCAGCTGGAGTCAGTATTCTTCAAATGAGGACCACTGACTAGCTAGTCACCAACAATGGTGCATTATCCTGTGGGAGTGCATTCAGAAAATTTGCAGAAAGCTGTGGCTTCCACCTGCAATTTTGATGCATGTACTTCCTGGTGGGGAATAGCATAGTGGAAAGGTACCATCTCACCATCAAGTGTATTGCTGCCAGAAAGCAGTGTTTTGTGGAGGAAGTGGTGTATCTCTAGAATATAACACCAAAGGATGAAACATCAGCCTCCACAAGCTGGGCAAACAGAATCTACACCTACCATGTGTAGGAAAAAGGGATAGATGTTGCAACTCTACTAGCATGCAAGAAGAATGCAACCTACAAAATTGGAGATGTAGTGTGGGTGAAGGCCCTGCACACCATCTGCACATTTAAATTTGGAAAGTGGGTGGTGACTGGACACCATGGTCTTTGCTCAGTTTTGGCCAATAGGATTCTGCACTATATTAGGGACTTTCACCTTGTCAAGGGGGTGGACCATGATGATGAGTCCTTGGAATGTGAGAGCACAGTGGAAGGTGAAGACAGTGAGTCATCAGAACCAGGAATTGTAGAAGAGCAAATGGATCCCACACGAATGCCCAGTGACATGATGGATGATGATCTGCTGGGCCTGGATGAAGAGACTTCCCCCCATCCGATTCACCTCAACAGATGGTTAGACACACAAACCTCTTTGGTTCCACTATGGAGAAGTGCAAGACAAGCAACTACTCACTGTCTGTCACTTGTGTGATCAGGAGATCAGGGGGAGTGTAGTAATGCAGAGCATAGCTTAACTAGTACGAAGCGTGTTTGAGTTTTAACAGGAAATCCTGTTTGAGGCCTAGAGGTGCACATCCACATTGACTGGGATTTGATGAAATGGAAATCACACCTATGCAAATGTATCAACACCTGCCGCTTACTATATAAACAGTTACATTGCTTGTTGGGAGACAGTAGTAATTCTGTAGACAACGTTCGTGGTGTGTACCAGAAAGGGAAAGTGATACAGATGACATAAGCATAATACCCTATAATAATCACATGGAATTCAATAAATATACAAAAATAGAAAGGGGTGTAAGACGAGGGTATATCTTATCACTGAACTTATACAAACTTTACAGAGAGGAAATCCTACAAAAATTCATTATTGTCAGTCAGAATATTAACTTAATTAGATATGCAGATGATACAGTGTTTAGCAGACATGGAAAGGAAACTATAGGAACTCTGACAGAAGGTGGTAAAAGAAAGTGAGAAGAAAGTACTAATCATCAATTGTAAAAAGAGAGAATATATGGTTCTCACCAAAAGGACATAAACAATGAATTGGTACAACTATTTAAATATCTAGGAAGTGTTTTAACAAATGCAACACTGAAATTTGAAGGTGCATTTGGACAGTGAAATATGCTTTACAAAAGCTAAGCAAAGTATTAAGAAACAGGAAAATGTTGTTAGAAACAAAAAAAAGGCATACTGAACTGTTATATAATATCTGTCCTCATATATGGCAATGAATACTGGACAATCTTCTGATAGATGATGAAGAGACTTGAGACAACAGAAATGTGCTTCTGCAGAAGGATGTTGAGAATACTATGGAATGGAAACAAAAAGGACACTTCTACTTAGAATCAAAAGAGACAGTCGAAATTGCTTAGGCACATAATGAAGAAAAAGGGC